TCCCACACCAGCATAGGAACATCGCTAGGATATATTGTTACACGTAGCATTCTAGTACGGAAACCCTGTCTACGTGCATTAGATGTGTGAAGCTTGGACCGTCTTTAAGGGACGTAGATCCACTACTATGACTTCATGATGGTTCGACGAGCACATCACTCGATGTTTTAAAGCTATTATTATTATTATTATTATTATTATTATTATTATTATTATTATATATGACTACTACCAGTATTAATTGTCTATTAATAATCTTACTTATAAATGGGGATTTTCTGTGGTGTGTGTGTGTGTGTGTGTGTGTGTGTGCTGTGTGTGTAGTGTGTGGGTGTCGGTGTTTCCGGCCTATTACGTTTCTCGCACCCGTCAACGATTCTCTCCAAACTTGGTACGAACATTCTACACATCATTGGACACGTTGCCATGCGGCTACTTTTTTTCCATACAGTTTTATTATTTTTCACATTCCACTTTAAAAAAACCATATAAAATGCTGCGGAAATTTTTGCATGGCAACGTCACAACAACACGAAAACACGACGCCACCTATCGGAATCTTATTGTTTTAATATTATTATTTTATTATTTTATATTATATTATTTTTTTAGTTCTTGACCACCCTAACGGCGCATGCGACGGGTATATGGCTAAGCTCTAATATATAATAATAATAATAATAATAATTAATTATTATACATATTAATTAGTAGTAGTAGTATACGTTAACCATTTAGTGAGCGTTATATTCTTACGAATGACGTTGTTGTTACAACACACAGTCGACCACTGTCTCGCGATTATTCGCTGGCTGGCTCAAGGATAACCGAACTACGGCACTACCAAGCTTCCTCGGTGGACAGAACAAGAAAGACAATGATAAGAGCAACGACGAGTTTCTGCGCTAAGGATTTAATTTAAAAAAAATTAAAATTAAAATTAAAAATAAAAGTAAGTGAAATTAAGTAAGTAATTTAGATTAAGCTGTAAACAGGTTCGGTATTTTACGCGGTTGATTATTCACAGCGTTATACTAAGTTGTTACGATCGAGCTCAGTCGAGCACGGATCATTTCAAGGTACATATATATGCAGGAATGGTAAGACATGTATAATTGTAAATGCTGTTTAGATAACTGTATAGTATTATACATATATATATAATCACTTAATAATATATATATTATATGTATAATATATATAATATAATATATATATATATATATAATATTATATGATATATATTAAGTATTATAGCTGCTAATAGTTCCTGACATAGTAGCCACTTCCGCACTAACACTGCCCGCTACCCAGACAATGACCGTCGCGGTTTCAATGAATTGGTTTACACAGTCACATGGGTGATGTTAGATTAAAGAAGTAGTTAATCCACAGGCCGCCATCTTTATATTATTCTTTTCTAAACGTGCATTAGATTTTATATCTTTATATACGGCACCCGTCGATTTGTAACTAGTTATTCATACTCACTATTCTCGATAATTTTCTCACCAAAGATGGCTTCAGTCGTACGCGGTCTGCGGCCGACCTACGTCAATCATCCGCGGGAGTTTCACACACGAGTTAAACAGCGTCGTTCTCTTTTGTCTTTAAAGATCACCAGACAACAAGGTGGTCAGCCTACCATAAAGCGGCCCTCAAACATAAGCTGAATACCAGCGGCAACCGACAATGCTACGGCGGGAACAGTGGACCGCGCTCCGGAAATTCTGAGGCCGAGAAATTTCCCGCCGACCCGCGCGGGGGTTACACAAGAAAGGGCGATGTGTACAGTTTCGTATCATCATGTATGACTAGTCTGTCTCCGCTAGTCCGCGACCGTAAACTTTGACGGAAAACAGCAGGGGTACGTAGCTCGCCGTCATTCGTCGCAAAGCCTTGCGCGCCTCGTCCGATCACTTTCATTCGTCGCGAACCAAGCAGGCCGAATCCTTGCGCAGCACACTGCGCATCATCTTTCCTACAGTAACCCACCTACATATTTCCTCTCCCACCCTCGACCAAACCTTTCATTCCAACCCTCGAACCCCTCATCTCATTTACGCCGCCGCAAACCCCTCCCCACCACCTCTCAAACCTCCTACCACCGTCTCAAACCCTCCCCACCACCCTCCGCAACATCCTCCACCACCCTCTCAGAAACCCCTCCCCAACCACCTCTCAAACCCTCCCCACACCCTCTCAAACACCCCCCACCACCTTCACCCCTCCCCCCAACCCCCCCCCCAACCCCTCGCAAATCCTCCCCAGCCACCCTCTCAAACCTCCCCACCAACTCTCATCAAACCTCCCCACCACCTCTCAAACCCTCCCACCACCCTCTCAAACCCTCCCCAGCTACCCTCTCAATCCCTCCCTACCACCCTCTCAAAACCCTCCCTACCCACCTCTCAAACCCTTCCACGACCTCCCATCTCAAAAACCCTCCCTGCCATATTTCTCAAAACCCTTCCCACCACCCTCTCAAACCCTTCCCCACCAGCCCTCTCAAACCTTCTACCACCTTGCCTTCAAACCACTCCCACCGCCTCTCAAACCTCCCCACCACCCTCTCAAACAACATGTTTTCCCCAACTTATACTGCTTCATTGTCTTCAGTATCTTACTGATCATGCTTTCGCATGCTAACTCCACGACTAAATTGGCATTTCACACACGCTCGAAGCGATTGAAAAGAAATATCAACGTGAACACCTTGCGGCTTGAACGCCTGCCTCGAATCCGACAAAAAACATAGTTTACTTCAGTATAATGACTGCATTGCCGCTATTAAGATTTAATGACAATAACCTCTTGTTTATACTGAGGAATGTACTGCCTTTCAATTGCCATGCAATCATTCAATTGGTATCTAGCCAATAACTTCAGCTAAACAAATCCCGCGTGCCCCCCACTTATTCTCAATAAGTAAACTAACGCCATGAACTTGTCTGCCCCCCCACAATAATTAAACATTAAACTATATATTAAGCAACGCAATCGCTGCGCGGTCGAATAACACTAAACGCTCGCCAGTGTTGTGTCCGTTTCGGAGACGGCCATCAGTAAGGATTCCGATAAACGGGAGAGGCGAACGCCGTTTCGTCCTGGACGCTCACACGACATTGACGCCTAGCAGACGAACTGAATCACCGCCATCCTGACGTCTGCTGCGAACCCTGCTGGGCACGAGATACCGGACGGACTACCCACGTTCACGCAGATACGCAAGGAGCTGCGTCATCATGGCCGCGGCACGTGAGTGTGCTGAATGGGGGTGGGGTTATATATACTGCGTGGTGCGCTGGCGTTGGCGTGCGTGGCGTGGCGTGCGTGTGTGTGTTACATTCGCGCGCATGTTTGGAATTTGCGCGTTTGTGTAACGCAATGAGTAAAACTAACCGCGTTTATATAAAAGACGCTTATCCATCGACTCTGCAGTACTGACTCGATACCCTAATGCTGATCAAAAATCATAATGTAGGACAAGTGTTACTTAATTAATGAGAGCACATTGTTCTCCATCAACAGATATCACCTCATCGACAAATCATGAAGTTAATTGGAGAATTACAACAATAATAACATTGGTAGGCCGATCGTGGAAGAAGCCGCACGGGGGCAGACTCTTTTGAACGAGCAAGCAGAACAGAATCGTCTGCTCTATCGATTGCTACGTCGTAAGTATAACTGCCACTCTGTCGGGGCTGCTCTACTCTACTAGTCTTCTCTTCATATCGCGCGCTCTCTCCCCCTTCTCTCTCTCTCTCTGTTCCTCGCTTCTCTCTCTCTCTCTCTGCCCTTCTCTCTCTCTCTCTCGCATCCTCTCTGACTCTCTCTCTCTCTTTCTCTCTCCCTCTGTCGGTCCGTCCGTCGGTCGGTCCGTCCGTCTGTGTGTCCGTCCATCCGTCCGCCCGCCCGCCCGTCCGTCCGTCCGTCCGTCCGTCCGTCCGTCCGTTTGTCCGTCTGTCCGTCCGTCCGTTTGTCCGTCCGTTCGTCCGTCCATCCGTCCGTCTGTCTATCTGGCTCCCACCTCCTCTCCCTCTCTGTTTATCTTGCGCTCTCTCTACACATTCACCCTTCAAAAGAAATAGACAATATAATAGTCTATACGCCTTTAATATCTATGATAGTTTTATCTCAACTATCGTCATCTAACAGTAACAATCATGTCTCACAATGCACACATCTAACGATGTACACTTTACTATGCACGCACGCCGACGTTGCGCAGGGTGGTAGCTGACTCGCTGAAGATTGGGAAGCCAGTGCCGCCGGAGCAGTACGATTCCGTCTCCATCTACTTCAGCGACATAGTGGGCTTCACGACCATCGCGTCTGACTCATCTCCTCTGCAGGTAAGTATATCATGGTGGCTGTACGCGGCATGCCCCGCGTCCTTACTTACTTACTTAGGCCTTTTAGCTCCATGAGGAGCATAGGTCATCGACGACGCTCCGCCAGCGTACTCGACCATGGGCTGTTTTTTTCCATCTCCCTCCAGGAGTGCCCGCTTCTCTGCATTTCTGCCTGGGTGTTTCTACGCCACGTGTTTCTGGACCTTCTCCTCTTCCTCTTTTCTGTGGATTCCAGGCCTGCCTGGTGATGCCCCGCGTCTTGATGCATGTTATTCATACTCGTGCAAGTAGGGAAACAAATCACGCGTATGAATAAAAAATTGATTTTGTAATAATAATTAAAAAATTGTAAATTGAAAAATCACAAATACAAATACAAATACAATAAATAGGCATACGTAAGTAAGTAAAGCAAGTAAAGTACAAATATAAGTATAACTACAAGTACTGTACAAAGACCATTTTAATTACAAGTACAGACACAAGTAAAAACACAAAACAAGTACAAGTACGACAAAAGAACAACAGCTACAACTACAACTACAACTACAAATACAAATACGAGTACGAGTAAAAATACAAACACACGCGAGCACAGTCTTGTGAGCACAACTACACAAATGCTATCTCCGCTGCTTACAGATTGTCGACTTTCTCAATGACCTGTACTCGGTCTTCGACGACATCATATCACAGCATGACGTCTACAAAGTGGAAACTATAGGCGACGCTTACATGGTAGTCTCCGGCCTGCCGCAGCGCAACGGCAAGGTGCACCTGAGAGAGATCGCCAACTGTTCGCTGGACCTTCTCAGCTCGGTGACCAATTTCAAGATACGACATCGCCCGCAGCAGCAGCTGCGGCTCAGAATCGGTAAGCGAGTGAGGTGACGCCGCGTGCACGTGTATGCGAGGAAGAGGGGAGGATGAGGAAGGGAGGGGAGGGGAAGAAGGGGAGGAAAGGGGAGGAGGGAAGGTATGGACATGGAGATTCAGAAAAGGGGTAGTGAGGGGCGCAGAGAGCGCGTGCGAGAGGGATAGATAGGCAGATAGAAAGAGCGCGAAAGAGAAAGGGGCGATGGAGAGAGGTGCGAGAAAGGAACGAGGGGAGAAACAGAAGGGAGAGGGCGGGAGGAAAGGACAGAGAGGCAGAGTAAGAAGGAGGGTCAAAGCGAGCGAGCGAATGAGAGAGAGACCGAAAGAAAGAAAGATAGTGAAAGAGAGAGGGAGAGAGAGCGGGCGCGAGAGAGAGACAGAGAGAAAGAGAAAGAGACAGAGGCAGAGACAGACAGAGAGACAGAGAAAGCGTACAAATCCAGCCGATACTGTCTACCCTCTCTCAGTAACAAGTCTACCCAACCTACAGTGCTCGCTTCATTCGTGGCTGCATGCATTTCAGGTCTACACACGGGCTCCTGTGTCGCCGGTGTCGTGGGTCTGACGATGCCTCGCTACTGCTTGTTTGGCTCTAGCGTAAATCACACAGTGCTGATGGAGTCCTCTGGCAAACGTACGTATCGCTAGATGCGTATTTACTGATGACATTAGCATGACATACAGCCTCTTCCCTGAACGTCCTCTGTGTGGGCAATCCTTCTTCATGATGATGATTGTGCTCGATCTCTTCATTGGACAGATATTCATCTTCAAATTCTGTCCGCAATCTCACTTGTTCAGGCCCCGACACCATCCATTTCCTGAAGGCAGAAGGATTTTCCATCAGACCAACTGCACCCCCAGAGCCCTTGACGGCTTCATTGTTCTGCTCATGGGCCTGATCTATTGGCATGGCCGAGAACCTGTTGCTGGTTTTTTAAATGACCCAGTGACCATTTTCTTTAAACTGATTGAGAATTGGGGGCTGTAGAGTTTTCATATCGCGAATGTATATCGGCATAGTTGTGGTGGTCTAACGCAAAGAACCATGGAACCAATGCCTTCAGGCTTTCTACGTACAAAAGAAAGTTTTTCTCGCGGTGTGATCTGATAAAGATGAGGCCATTAAGTTCCATGTTTAGAACTGTATCCAAATACTGAAATGTTGGACTCTTCTCGACCATTACCAACCGCCATGCCTCATTGGCTTGATCACTGCATGTGTGGCCCAACTGTGTCCAGGAATGCATCTTGCTGTAGCTTTGCGAGAGCCAGTGCAGTCACTTGGTGGGCATGTCTTGTTCTGGTGATATGTGTGGCTTTCAGAAAAGAGTCGGAAGTGCCTGATGATGCAACACCTGCTTGTGTCAACGCATTGGTCCAACCAGAACCCTCTAAGTAGTCACCATACGTATTCCACATTGCCTTCTCTATATGCAGACCGCCAAACATTATAACAAATTTGTCCTCCCCATGTGTATCAGGCCAGTTCCACTGAGTGAACTTGGCCAGTGCATATAGTGGTTCATCTTATAGGTTTGCACATGTCCGCCTAGTTGGAAATTCAAGATGGCCGCCATATTGAGTATTCTAAATTGCATTATTGTATTCCTTGACCCAGAAAATGTATGTTTAGACACCAATATTGAGAGTCTAGTTAGTTTGAAAGCAGAGAAATTGGCATTTCTAGTTTTGCACATGTCCGCCATGTTGGAAATCCAAGATGGCCGCCATATTAAATATTCTAAATTGCATTATTGTATTCCTTGACCCAGAAAATGTATGTTTAGACACCAATATTGAGAGTCTAGTTAGTTTG